TTGTCATTTTTTTTTTTTTTAATTTTGCAATCATTCTTTGTTGCAGGAGAAGTTCTTCTTGCGCTTGAGAGAAGTTATCATTTAATGATTATTCAAATTTTTCGAATTTTCAATTTTCAAGATGTTCTTGGTGAATGAATGAAAAAAGAATATATCTTTTTGCATCATGATTCAGAAATGTGTATTATTATATTGTAGAATTTCATACGAAGGCACCGTATTAATTTCTATACTTAATATAATATTTTTTTGTAATATTTTGTGTATCTTTAAATTTCTCATAAAAGTATAAAAATTCACAATCTATTAATAATAATACCAAAAAGGAAAACCAGAAATAAATTGTAACTGGCATGTAGAAATTACATTATTATTCGATCGGGGGAAATTTCTTCATTTTGCAATATTTCCTTGGAATATTTCTATGCCATGCGCGTCTGCCTTTTATCAATCGAATTTCTTGTCGAAGAAAAAAACGAGATGTTCGTGACTGTATGACGAAATTTTGGCGAACAGTCGCCGACGAAAAATTTTCCTCGCCGGAGTTACGCAATTTCACCATCTGTAATTTGTCCTTCGCGACGATACGTGGCAAGCATGCGAATTTCCGTGTAAAGAAATAGTGCGAATTTAATGAGAACGTGCTCGTACGATAAGAACGAAGAGCAACGACGTGACGAATTCTCGAAACCTCGGTGCAGAGGAACGAAAAAGGACAAACAGACGTGTCTATCGCGTTTTATCAGCGATAACTTGGAAAAGGAATGATTTCTCTTTTTTTTTTAAATATCAGTTCTACGGAAACACCGGCTAGAAAATTAGCAAATGTAAATAATACATCACGCGTAATTAATGTGACAAATTGCATGTAATTTTCACACGTATATTTCGCAAGTGATTGGATAAATCGTTTTGGGCTTGTCATTTAATTGTAAGTAATCATAAGTGATTGATTTGTGCTACGAAGTAGAATAAAAAAGAAATAATGACTTGGATGTTAGATTAATATTTAATAATACGATTAAGCGGCATTAATTTGTGTATTTTTAAATAACTTTATGTGTCTAGCGTGCAACGTAGAAGGAACGAAGAAAAAAGAAGACATGATTATCATAATATTTGCGAATGACATTACCATAATAATGTACGAAGCACAAATGTGCAATTATGCAATATGCAATGACATGTCGTTAATAACACAAAGTTCTCGACGTGAATGATCGTCACAGAATTTTTTCATACAAAATCGACTATAAAGAATTCATAACAATTCTGCAATTTCTCTCCTACTTTTTACTTCCTTCTCTTTCGTTTAAAAGCAATGAAATGAAATTCATCTTCCTTTGCTTCCATGTAATTTTTATTCAAATTATCTTCCAAAAATAAACAGACATCGCAAATACAGTTGAAAACCTCCTTGAATCGCCAAAGATAAAAATTCCATCGAAGTTTTACAATTTGTGAAAAGGAAGAAAAAGTAATTCGTAATATTTGCTTCAATTTATTTTCTGTTCATTGTAAATATTAACTTTAATAACTAACTGGAAATAATTTCGAATGTCTTTATAGCTTGATATTAATATTAATTCTCTAGCTTGTTCTGAATGATAAAAATAAAATAGAAACATCGAATGGAAATTAATACACGTGTGCTTTTAACTTGACTCAAACTTATTAATATTAATATTCGTATTATTAATACAAAATAGGTATTTTTATTATATAAATTGGAATTCATAAAATCCTATAATATAATTTGCACTCAGTTTTTTCACTCTTATCAATCCCCATCGTCTCAAAATAAAAGAAAAGACAAGGAAAACAACTTTTTTATTCCAGTTTTCTTTATATTCAACAAAATTCCGCGAAATCTACGCTGACGGCCGTGATAAGATAAGAAAAAAAGCGAATGTACTTACATAAATTTCTAATCAGCGGTTAAGCCTCAGTATTAACGATGACTAATATTCGGTCGGCGTTCTTCAATTGCATGTATAATCAGTTCTTTACAAATATTGAGGAGTCGCGATCGAGACGATAATGTTTACAAGTGTCGTTGCTCGTTATCTCTGATGATTACGCTTAATATCCGCAATTAAATATTACGTTCAAAAAGGAAAAAAGGTCAAAAACAACGCAGACAGCGTTCCTCGTGCGAATTACGTAAACGTGTATCAATTTGTCTAATGACACGCGACTCGAATCCACGAAATCTTGTCGTTGATCTTTGATCATGGATCAAACCGTCACGATAATTTACTCATTGACGTCTATCGATTACAAAATCCCTGATTGTGAGAAGACCTTCTTCCGATCAATGTTGACCGGATGTACGCAACACTGCTACTTTTTAAGCAATTCTTAAGTGATTAATTAGTAATTTGATTGTGAGCCTTAATTTAAAACTTTTTGTTATCTGTTTAATGTCTTGATTATTGCGTTACTACTTGAATAAAAATAGCTTGGAGGGAAGTTATTTGCTAAAAATTTGCTACTCTTTAAGTAATTTTTGAAGTACAAGTTTTAATATCTGTTAATTCATAAAACTTGGTTACAGTATTATCGTTGTTACGTTATATTAAATGGGAATACTTTTCGGGAAAATTATTTGCGAAATGTTCACTTTTCAAATAATTTTTAGCAATGACTCAGATTTATGTACTCTTTGATAGACATTTGTTAATTCGCAAAACGTTACTGTAAATAGAAATAGTTTCCAAAAGGAAATAATGCTGTTACTTTTTAAATAATTAAAATACACTTCATTTCTCTCTTTTATCATTATATATACTAGCAGGAAATCTCTTTAATCACCATTGCTAAAAATTGCTACTTCCTGCGTAATCTTTAAGCAATGAATTAATGTTCATTTCACTTTTTTGTTGGATGTAATAATTTTTTAAATATCTGAATTTCCTACTCAGAATCCATTTTGTGGAAGTTGGTCAATTTCATGAATATTACAAAATTGAAAGGAAAGTAAGCAAATATATTTAAAATCCTATAGATATCGATATTTTTTGAAGAATGTAATAAGCACAACAATTGTAATCATCGAAAGAGCAATTTACAAACGATATAAGGTTAGATAAAGCATCGTATCTTCTATTATAATATAATTTGACTGAATAATAATTTTTAATTAATTTAAGTAGTATAATAACGATAATGAGATTAAGTAATTCATTTATTATTTATTTCTTACAATTTATTTCTATTATTAAATGATAATATTGTATAATGTAATTACATTAATATGATAATATTGATAATATAATTACATTAATTTTGTATATTTTAAATGAATCATACAATTTAAATTTCCTGTAAATACATAAACGTCTAATCTATAATTATTCCCTCGTATGAAAAATTTGAAAATCAATTTGTTTACGATTACTAGTTATATTTAGCGAATATAGCAAACAAAGCGTTAAAAGTGCAGATATAAATAACCAGATCTCAACGAAAGATAATCGTGTAATTTTTCGTTCGCCCACATATTTCGATAGGAAAATACGATAGAAAAAGACGTAGATAAAAGTCCAAGTTTCGCACAAACACAAACAAGGAAACTTTGGCAAGAAATTAGAAAATTGCCAAGTTCGTCGAATGTACTTCTCTAAAGAGATAAAAATTGTTTAAGACATTCTGGAAGAACTGGTTTTGTATTTTGACGTCGTATTTTGATGAATTCGGTTTTGCTATACGCTTATCTAACAAATTCATACAGACGGAGTTTTAATTCTAATACGTGTATGGACACATACTTTTTATAGCCACTGTGTACATATATGTCTCGGTCTCCAAAACTCGGGGGCCCGTACTAATGACCGAATTTTATGACGTCACTGCATACATATACACATGGATACACACCGCCTCCGCTGACAATCACGTGAACAGAGTGTGAATACGAGCGGATGCTTCGCGGTCTGCGCTCCTATAATAATCACCCATGTGATTTTTCTGTCTCTTCCACCTAGCCGCGTGCTACTGTTGCGTCAGAGATCAATGAATCGTTGCATAAGGTCCGCGTTTATTGACTGCAGAGCCCCCGCTAATCTCTCGTAGACTGTAGACTAACGCATTTTTCCTTCGGTGGCGCTCGAACTTGTGATAATAGACGAGTAAAATAGTTGACTCGTTCAAACACTCGATAACTTCAAGTTTATGCGTAGAACCCATTAGTTTGGCGAATCGCGACAAAAGTGCGGACGATTAGCACCTGAGAAGCTTCTCCAAGCATAGTTCAAAGTGTCCCCTTTTTAAGAGAGACGCGCGAAATAAGTTTCAAAGTTTCGTGGAAAAATTAATAGACTAAGTCTTATCTTAATACTGGCTAATGTCATCTAAAATTTCAATATTTCAAACAAACACGTTTGACGCGGACTTTGTACCGGCTCGGAGGCTAAACTCTGATACAATTTTTGAGTTTTGCAGGCCACCGAGCGACCCGTGGCTTTCACTCACGAGGACACGTGCTAGGCCGTCTTGTTTTCATCATGATCACGTGCCGGTATTCTAACTCGAATCAGCCTTACCGATTTACCAGTTAAAAAGAACGAACGGTTGAACTTCGCTCGACTTGCTTCAGAAACAACTTACCTGAACTTCATCAGTTTAAATATCTCCTTACCCAAGGGAGACCCAAACAAATCTCATATCTCCCCCTTAATTAGTGGATTAAGTATTGTATCACGCAGACCAAAGATCCCAAACCTTGACACAACGACAGATCCCTCTGTCCTTCGAGATCGTTCGAAGGGCCAAGAGAATTTCGAAAAATCACGAAAAGAGCTCGTGATGTACGTTTACGTGACTAGTCTCGCGTTTCCGTTAGCTAGCCCTTTTTGTTCCTCCGCAGTTGTTTTATTTCCCAGCAATTGGTCGGGGAACCTTTAGACCCGAAGTGAGCGACCAATCAGCTGGTGAGACGACCAGACGTTACCTCGAAGGAAACGTGAGGTCGCCACTCGTGCTCGCTCCAATGTAGCCTTGCTGCTCCGACTGGCGAGCATAGTCGTTGTTTGTGTTTTATCGTGTCAGGAACGAGCCAGAGGAGTAGTGTCTCTGACCGGCTTCAGTCGATCTGTAACCCCTTTCGACGAAAGGGAACGACTCTTCGACTCTCGCGTTCAACAACCGGCGTTATCGATTTTCTCGAGGGTTGTAGAAGCCGCGGCACCGAAGAATGGACATATTCCGCGAATTCCCAATCGTTTTGAATCTGTACAAGAAATACAGTTAGACGAGTCGTGGGACGAGAGACCGGTGAGAAGAATCGAGAGAATCGAGCTGCTTGTACGGGCAGTGACGACGAGCATCTAATCTCAGTGTAGTTATCACCAGGACCCTATCAGGTGAGCTAATAAAAGTAGAACTTTCCAGTATAATTCCCCGTCGTTCGATGATTCAAGTACGGTCAATTGACCTCATGGTCGGCGACAATCACGCACCGCTTCCGCTCTTTGTAATTATGTTATCCGTACATTGTATTAAGTATCAGTCGAGTAGTCTTTTCTATCCCTCGTGTTTATCTCGTTTCTGTCGATATATATCTTCTCGTAAATCTATCCCGCGAGCAATCTTCTCGTTAAAAGGCGGAAGATTCCCTGAATTTGAATCACCGATTGGAGATCGAGTTCGGTGTGAAGATTGTCAACGTTCGTGTTCGATAAGGGAATTAGTTATAGATATGTAGATAGGGATCTGCGCATTAGTTTTGAGAAATTTGAGCACGATGTGACCGGCGTTCGCTGTCCCCTAGAGGGAGGCTCGCGTTTACTGACTCTCCACGCCTACACGGTCAATTTACGATGATGAGACGCGCGCGGGATTTAGATGGGAGGATATATGTATTACGATCAGTCAAATAGTCTGCGAGAGTTCCATAAAGCTTGTGTCGTTGCAAAGTTTTCAGTTGTTCAGCGAACACGCGTACACGCGCAACTCCTCGTGCTTTCTTTCTCACCGCATCTCCATCTTTGAAATTTCGGCTGGAAGATACGGTGACACGGTTCTAAGAATAAAACTAATACCAAAAGACAAATAAGTATTAGATTGTTATAATAAGTTTGTTCTTCTTCGAAAAAGAGCGTCAGGAGTTTCTTTAAAAGAGCGTCTAACATTGTACATTTATACAAGATCTATTTAGTAAATAATGTACGTACTGTTTTGTTCTATTATTCTTTGCAACAGTTGAGTAAATTTTACCACATCAGTTTTGTTCTTTTAACGAAAAAATTTCAATGTTTGCATTAGTTGAGCAATCGTAACCTCAGTTTTGGAGCTTTTATTTTTTTTTTTTTTTTTTCAAAAAATGTCAATATTCTTGTTGCGATATTTAAGTAGGTAATTTTAGCTCATCACTTTTGGAGTTTACTCTTTTTTCTAGAAAATTCTAATCCACGTGTTTTCAATACTAAAATTAAAATTAAGTAAATATGAATGAATATTTATACAATCTAATATAAAGCTTGTTGTTGCAAGGAATAGGAAAAATATAAAAAAAAATATAATATAAAAAAAGAACACAGGAGCTGAAGAGCAATTAAAAATTAATCTTGATTTTAATAGTTCTGGTTAAGCATTGATGCAAAATTATATCTTTTCGTATTGCGTTTTCTAATACAATTTGTGATTATGAATGGAAATTCCAAGGATTTGGTTAATATTTCTTTCATTATTATTTCATCATTTGGATTCTATAATTTTGCGAAATTAAAGAAATCGAATTACATAATTCCATTATATAAATGATAAACCATTGCTCGGTCGTCAATGAATCAACTTAGTGTTATCAACACATCAAAAATCTACATTTAAGTTGTATTCATTGAAAGAGAAAGAATTTCGTATTTACAAGTTTCCTAATCTAAACCGTAATACGAAGAACTTTGACTTTATAAAGACTGAACTTCCAAACCTATTTTTAATTTATTGAATAATTTTGAGTTGTTTTTTGCAAACTAGACAATCTAAACGAAAGAAATAATAAAATGAAAAATATCCATTGTATCTTTGGAATTTCCTTTCACAATTACTCCATTGAAAATTAAAATTAAAACATAAATTGATTTCAAAAAGGAAATTGCAAATTGATTATCACGTGTTAGTGTTAGCCCTTAATGGATTAAAATAAACGATCGGTCGAGAGGTTCGTGAAAGAAGCAGTTCACAGTTTTAATCTCGGGGTCGCAAGGGCTATCAGGTCATGATATTTTTTTTCTTGTTTCTACCACGCTTCGACAAAGTCGAAGGTCTGTTTCTTCAACACGAATCGAAAAGCTTTTTCGTGATTTTTTTAGTAGCCCGGTGCTGCTCGATTATATTATCGTTCATCACACGAGACTCCTCACTTAATATTTTCGGAAGAATTCGGTCTTCGTCGAACCGGCGAAAAATGATAAAATAATTGTCATTTTTTTCAGAGGAAAACAACTATTGTGCAAATAACAATCGAAACGTCAGATAGCTCAAGGAAAAATTCGGACGATTATTTACGATCATCGTTTCTACCATTGCGATAAGCAAAATGACCAAAGTGTCGGGAATGATGAAAAAGAAAGACGTTGGCAAACAGACTCTGGTACGACGTATGTCTAACATGTTGAGAGGTAAGGGAATATAATTTGACTAATAACTGATCATTATATGCAACTCATCCGAACACGACAACTACCAACGACTGAAGTACACTTGCGTTAGAGAAATTAAAATACAAACTTTACATTATAACAAAAAATACAATTACATATTGTACAATAGAAATTAATATAAAATATTGAAGTGTATAATAGAAATATTACGACGCAATGAAAAAGTTCAAAAAATATTAGTTATTATACAACGAGAGAACACGAGATTACACAACGGAGGGTTCGGAAGCATACAAATACACTTTTATTGAAATCTTCAATTTGTAGATTAGTCACTATTGACAACTACAGTTACACTATAATATGATCATTATTATAGGTTGTTCCATTGAAATTCGGACAGAAGAAAAGTATATTTTTAACGATCTCGCAAATTTATCAAATTTACTGTTCTATTTTCTAGTGCTAAAATAATAATGAATTAATAATTATATACTGTCTTATATCAATTGATAATTATATCTCGTTATATCTCTCGACAGATGGAAGTAACAGCGAGCCACCAATGCTGTTTCGTCACACCTCGATGCAGAAGATCCGCCATTGCTGCCAGAACCTCAATCTCTTCCCGTATCTGCTCTACTCTTTCAAAAATTCAAAGTCACACCCGATCGCTCGCAAGCTGCACTATTGCCTCGGCCAGTTCATCCAGCTGATCACCGCAAAAATCTACTTCGTGTACAGAAGCTTTCGACAGTCGTTACTGTGCGACATTCATGCGAAAGAGCTGCAAGCGGCAGAGCCACCGAAGATCACCGAATCTGTCAGTAAATTGACACCGAGATTCCGAACGATCAGGCAAAATCAGAAGCCTAAACAGAGAAGACGCCTGTTCCTGACACTGGCCGTATACTTCGCCCCGTTGTTGTTGCTTTTCCAACTGATCGGACTGTTCAGCGTGATGGTGTTTGGAAAATACACGCCCGGCTTCATCTTCCTCATGTCCGCCCTGTTTTTCCTCGGATACATCTCGCTCAAAATCCTCTTCCACGAGACTGCCAAGGAGAGGCGCAGATGCACGAAGATCGCAATTGACGAATGATCATCTTCCGCCAGTCGTTACCTATCTCAGCCACCACTCAAACGATCAGACTGTTCATCGGATAAATGAACTTGGCCTCCTTCACAGTTGTCCATTTGTCGCATTTGATTACTTAAACGACGCGATAGATCAGATAGAGCTTACATATTCCGTATATTCGCGCGATGCTAGCATTGTTCACGCTCATTCATAATCTCTTTCATTTCTACTATCTATGCCTCTGATAATGCATCCATGTATATATGTATGTTAATCGTTCTTTCTCACCATCAATGGTTTTGTTAGTTACTACGTTAGGATCGATAGAATCAATTGTATCATACGTTCTATGATACTTCTCTTCTTCTTTTTTTCTTTTGTACTTTATTATCATCGGACTGACAAATACACTATAATAATCGTACATAGCGCGTGAGCGTAGGCATTGCAACATTAGAGGATCGAAAAGTTCGTGACGATTTTACTCAAGAGGAAGTTTGTACGCATTTTTCTTTTTTCTGTTTTTTCCATTATCAAAATAAGCATAACTGTAGTTCTTCCTTTGATTTTCCGTTTTTTTTTTTTTTTTTTTACTTCTTACTATCTTCTCCAGTATGAACGTTTACCTAAGCATTTTAAACGCTGCTTATTAATTGAAGTGCAATTTACGAGTTACCTGGATAGTGTATCGCGATTCACTTTATCCTCTACAGCAGAAGACTGAGAATCGTTTTAACATTGTTGTATATAAATGAAAGCAAGAAAATAAGATATATATGTATAAATATATATTACGCGTGAAAAGGAGAGTAATATTAAAATATACATTGTACATGTATGTATGTGCGGGAAGATAAAATTATGTTATTCTATATCGTTAAGATAATTATCAACTCGTCGTTCGTCGAAACGATTTGGCCTGTCCATTGGAACGAGTTAGGCTAATCTGTGATTGAAGTGGAACCAAGTGTGTTTTTCACGGCTATTCGCTGTTCTACTTACTTAAGTACGATAAGAAAATGTGTAACTTTGATCTTTTCTCGTTTTTTTTCCTTTTTTTTTTTTTTAAATATACGTCACATCTTACATAACACGGTTGTACTTTCTCCTTTACTCATTAATACTGTACGCGGCGCGTTTAATATTCATTGTTATCAATGAAGCAAGAGTAAAACGAACAAACAGAGGTATATGAAGACACTAACCAGACTGCTATATCGATTTCCAGCATTGTTGCCATAAGCTACCGATTCCATGTTAGTAGCGTGTGCTATCACACAGGCAACATAACTCTGTTCGTGCACGCTGTGAAACAGATGTGCATACGGTCCTAAAAGAAAGAAACATTTGCCAATTAGTTTTATGATTGCTTGTTAATTCCTCACGTGTAATTTGTGAATCTATATACAGGCAATTCCGACAATGTACTCAACACTTTTACTTTACACTTCAACGCATTTAAAATGCATGCATAAGTATGTATAGCTTTACGTTTCGTATTTTTGTTATAACTTTTTAATAAAGAATTTACACGCTCTTTGCTAAATTTTAATATATATTTGCCAGATTACACTGGCAATGTTTGAATTGCATAAATACTTTGAATACTTGCCCAAAGCATAGACAGCAACATCACCTCCTCCATGATAAGCTTCGTCGGTTATGATAGTTGCTTGTTGACTGTAGATGAATGCTGTCGTATCTTCATCTGAAGGATCTATTCTCTTATTATTCTTGTAGGCCATGTTATTTGGCCCACCTGTGCTGTAAGTCAGCGTTGTATACGGGATTCCATCGTGCTTGGACTTCTGAGCTATGCCTACGAGACGAATTATTAACTAGCATTAAAGTTTCACTATTAACACACTGATGTCGATTTTAAAATATACTCAGCAATTTTAAAAAATACTAAACGAGATATTTCGGCAAGGCAATTTTAATAGGAAAATACGGTCTCGTTTTCTGACGTCAATCTGTTCATTCATATTTAATGTTTGATTGAATTTTCATTTTTAAATGTGATTAAATATAGAGATGTAATTAATTTTAACGAATAAAGATACTCGTAATATCTTTAAAACAATCAGTACAAAATTGCAATCGAAATTCACACGTTTTTTCTACAAATTTAGCAAACAGGATTAAGCAGAAAATGATTATAAAGAAATTTTACCTAGAATGTTTGAACCTCTATCGCTGTATCCATTAAAGCTCAAGGAATGAGTATGATCGCTAGTTACAATAATAAGAGTATCTTGCGTGTTAACCATCCTTAAGGTTGCGTTAATAGCGTCTGAGAATCTGACGGTTTCTAATAACGCTTGTGCAGCGTGGCCACGATGATGAGCATAATCGATGAGTCCTCCCTCAACCTAAAAATTATTTATTTGCAATATTTCTCAATTATTTTATATTATCAAACTCTACTTTTCAATATTGGAATTTAATGTAACGTAAATTTTATAATTTCATGAAGGTTTTTCTAATTATAATACGTATAAAAATACCACAAGAAGATAGCCCTCTTTCGACTTCTGCAAGATCTTCAATGCAGTTACAGTCATTTCTTCGAGACTCGGCTGTCCTTTGGGACCTTTCTCTCTGTTCCAATCCATACTAATATGACCATTCGCAAAGAGACCCAGCAAATAATCCACTTCATCCGTATTCACTCGAGACAATTCTTCATTATTTTGAACAACTTCGAAAGACAATTTCCTAAAAGTTTTGTCTTGCTTCCAATATTCGATCAAGTCCCTACCATCTTCTCTATGACCAGCCCAAGTGTCAATGGGATCGAATTCAGTACCCATAGCATTGGATTTTAACATTTGTCTACCTCCACCCATGATTACCTAAATTAAAAATATTTCTAATTAATTCATATCTCATCGTTTTATTTTTTCCTCTTGTTGCTGAATGTTTTATAGAATTGAATTGAAACAAACGACGAAGTGTATACTTAACAATCTTTCAAACTGATGTGAAACATTCATTCAATCAGGATATATTATAGTTTACCTTGATATTTTTTCCTGGCAGGTCCTCTACCAATTGTCTGGCGATGTCTTTGCACTTTTCTGCAGTCTTCGGCATCTTCGACTCGCATTCCCATTTTCTGTTCGGGCTGTGTGCATATAAGGGTGCTGGAGTCGCGTGAGTCACCCTGGTGGTCGTCACGAACCCTGTAAATGATGGTTTAATGTCTCTATTATAAGGTACTGTATGAGAATACATCATTTATAATACTTGTCATTTAATTCGAAATCTTCGTTGTTCCATTACATTCTTACTCGTCAATTTATTATTTTATTATATTATCTTCACGTTAGAAAAATAATTATTTTCTAAATTAGTTATTTAGGATTATTTCATTATTTTGATTTACAAAGAATCTTGAGATTATTAATGAATGACTTATTGATTTTTCTGTGATCTGAAAAATTATTTAATCTTTGCTATCTGAAATATATATTTTGTTGAGGAAAATTAGTACAAGATTCATTAGAAAATCCTTTATGAATGCTTCGTCATTAAGAAATTAATTTAAAAATATCTTACTCCAGTCTTTTGTAAATTCTAGAAGCACGATTTATACTCCAATGTTTATATGTGTTATATCTACCTGTATCTTTACCAAACGCCTGTGCCCACGAGATGATAGAGTCCACGTGGTAACTAGTATTTAAGCTCGCAGAGCAATTATCTATTGCTACATTCGCATCTACGCCAACCACGTTGTAATTCGTCTTCACTCCGCCGAATAATGCCGTTGCTGTTGAAGCTGAATCTGGTACTTGTTTGTCAGTATTGTACGTCTACTTTAACAATCTTAATATTAGTTTATTATTGTAGAAGAATTTTTTATTATATAAAATATATTTTATATTATGGGATTTTCTATATGTAAGATGTATTTTCTATATTTCTTATATTCTACTAAATATCCTATATCCTATAATCTCCTATGATTATATTTTTATACAAGAACTTTTTATATTAATATCTTCTATAATTATATGACTATACAGGAGAATATTCTATCTATAGAATATATTCTGTATTATGCAATATTCCATACATAAAATATATCAAGTCATAGAATCATTTTACGCGAGTTATACACGAGTAATTATACAAGACAGAAAATATTCTATATCAGTAGCCTCAATAATTACGTATTTACAGAAGATTTTTCTACGTATATCATGTATTCTATAATATACAAGCTTCCATATACAGAATATATTAATTCACAAAATCATAGGGGACATATAGACCTTAAGAATTCCTATGTGAGGGAAACTCTCCCAAGCCAGACGGCTGGTCTCACCAGCACGGAATATTCTACTGGCGGTAATGGTATCGGAGCTCATGCCGTCACCCACGAAAATGATCACATTCTTTGCTCTGTTCGTGATAAATCTGTACGACAGAGCATCCTCCAGTTCGTCGGTAGCTAATTTCCGCCAATGTTTAATATCTAATAACACCGCGTAACGAAATAAAAGTTAATTAATAATGAAAATAGCAAATCGAGTCTTTCAATTTCTCGACGATATATATATATATATATATATATATATATATATATATATATATATATATATTCAAATATGCGCGTTACATACGTAAACACGTGTGCGTTGTATACCGATAAGCTAATGGAACGGATATTCAATTTATGTATAATTTATAACGACTGTAAGTAGAAGTTTATATTCTGATTAAAGAATAGAAACGCACATGAGAATTATTTTAAACGCTCAATGAGATCAGCGAGTATATAGAGAATACTAAAGAGAAGTATATGTTATTGGTATTACGTTATCGTCGAAGGGAATTGAATGGTTTGCTGACGATAGCGGAGAATCATTGACGATTACAGAATATATACATGCACGAACCGATGAGATTTTGTATACCTTCTTTCAACGTGGCTCGAGCGATTCCAAGGAGAAACGACAAGGTGATACACAATGTGATAAGCCTCATGTTTAACGTAACTGTGCGATACATTTATATGATCGTTTCGTGTCCCGTCACGATGTTAATAGATGTTCGCGTTAAATGCGACTAAATGGAAGAGTAATACAAATAATTATCTCGTTAAATTCGAGCTGTAACGCTCCCTATAGTGAAACAGGCTGCATTAAGTCGACAATGCAGATTTCTGTTTTGATTTTTGGAGCAATTATGATCTAGAATATAGATCGTGGATCAAGAGTAATGGACGAGACAAGAATCAAACAAATTTGTAGGTTTCCAATTTTTTTCGTGAGCATTCTATAAGTCTGAATAAGAGAATAATGATGTAATGTTGTAGCAAAATAAACGTAAATATTTTATTACGAAGCTGTGAGCAAATATTGAATGGAGCGATAGTAATGAATTAATAATTCATGACATCGATGAATTCACAGGGAAATAAATTTGTTTTATCTATTAAATATTGTAACATCTACTTTAGATATTTTCAGACGTTTACATTAAATGTATTTTACTTTCAATTTTTAATTAAATCAATTAAACGTAACACATTTCAATTCTGGGTAGATATGAAATGCATGGATAACATAAAACAGAAGTAATTGTGTGAAATACTTCGAATCATTAAATAAAATTCTCAAAAAATATAAAATGAAATTGTGCATAATACAGCAAAGAAAATATTGTCGTGCACAATTTTTCATATTTTGTAATATAAAATCAATTGTTAAGCACATATTTTATCTTATAACTTTGTAACATATTATAGCATAATAAATAATTTCATTTAATAAATTGTTTCTTATTTTTATCAATAAAATTATATTCCTACGATTTCTTTGGAAAAATGATTTTTTTTTTAAGACTGGTATAACTAAAAAACCGAGAAGGATTGGCTAACATTCACTGTAACATTTTATTTGATTTTTGTTCATATTCATCGTCTGTTCGTACAGATCGTAACACATCGCGTAATACAATCCTTATAGAGCTATTTTTCTCCTCTTCTCGCGTGTCTCACATCTTCAACGAAACTATGAAAAACGTAGAATCGATAAAATCTACCATTTCAAACGTCCGCTCACTCTTTCATTCCTCTTACCTATCACCAACGTTTGTTTCTACTTAAAAAAGAAAACACACAGTAAAAAAGAAATCAGATTGCTCTACAAATCTAACATAATTATCGAACATTCTCTATCCGTCTTCACGCGTTCAAAACGATTAACACTATCCATTAAAGGATCCACGAAGAAGCGAAGTCCTATTACATCATAAAGTTTAATCAACCTTATTATAATTAATTATACAAGTTTGTAAATTTTGATTTTTCAATGTAGAATCAGCTTCTCGACACGATGAACGCTTCTGAAAGAAATGAAGAACTATCTACTGAAATGAATAAATCACAATTTACTCTTAACCCTCTATAGGCAATCTGGATCGTTAAAGATGCATAATTTCATTCACGAATTTTTCGACGGGAATTTTTATTCTTCGTTTTAAAAATCTTTTAAATATTTGATTAATTTTTCAACTAAAACTCTATTAATTACTCAGGAATGATGTCTAAATTTTATAATTATTAGACTATGGATTTTTATGCATTTATGAATAATTTTAGGATACAAAAATCAATAGGATGTATATGATACTCGTAATACTTAATACATTTCGTCTAAGTGCCTTCTTTACATTATTTTCGCAAAAATACGAATGTGCATAAAAATCCGCAGCCCGATGGTTGTATATAAATGAAATAAATTTGGTCATTTATTGCCATCACTGAAACCTATAAAAATTATTATTAAACCTATCTATTAGTTATTAATATAATAGAAATCCACGAAAATGATGAAAAAACCTACATCATCAACATTAAACGTTGTCCCTTATGAACGATTCAGCTTTCTGTGGACTATAGATGATAATAAATGTTATACTTGCCCACAGAGGGTTAATTAACCCTAGAACCCCTAAGCATCGAGATTTTTTTACGGAAATTCTTCTTATGCACAGTAATGATTATCAAACTTAGACATTTATACAACAACAAATAAAATTTTGAGAATTTTTCTCAAAAGAGGAATAATTGTCAAACTTGTGGAGTTCCAGGATCAATACTAATCTATCTTTGGCCAAGAACAGGTACCTTAAAACGAAAGAAACTCATTGCTACGTAATTGCAGTGCGAACTGACGTTCGAGGTACATATTATCGTTTGATGCCCTTATTCGATCGTACGAATGCTAATTCATCTTCATAGAGGCAATTGTTACGCGAATATTACGCTGGAACATGACACGATTCATTCGTGTCTATAGCCTGTGGCCAACTATTTGGACTGTTCGAGGTCGCTGCGTCGTTTTTAGCACTTTGCTTTCGTCCATCAGGAACATACAAATATTTCACTGATTTTTCTCATCGATTATTGAGCGTCGATTGATCATAAGCTTCGAAGATAAAACTGCAGGGGCAGAGAGACAAGACAAGCTATAGTAGATCAAAAAAGTATCGGCATACCCACTATTTTTGAAATATCTTTACATACCAAAGTAATAAATTGTGCTTCATACGTTGTCCTCCTCTCTGAATCACTTGTGTCAAAATTTCACTCGTAAATTTTTATACTTATAGATTCTAAGTTGAAAACTGACTGTATAATATCAAAAATTTTTTACATTTTCTTGGAAGCTTGAAATAGTAAAAAAAAAAAAAAAAAAAATTAGGCGTAAACGTGAACAACTCAACGCTTGCGAAAGATTAAAAGCAAATGTGACTTTTAATATTGAGGCATTGCGTGATTTTCTTAGTTTATGGTTCGTTATTGATCAAAGATTCTCAAAATCCATTTCGATATTTAATTTGTTTCATATAAATGTTTTTCTATTGAAATTAAACACATCAAGGAATGATGCACGGTTTATAGTAAAAATACTACATGTACGAAGATATTTCATAGTAGGCGTGTCTGTAAATATTTTTCTGATCCACTGTAATTGAAATTGTAGTTTAAACGCGATACAGATATTCTCTTTTGCAGTTTGCTGATGGTGTTCGAATAGTTGGCCACGACTGTCGAGGAGAAAATAAAAACACACATTGCTATCGTAGAACTCTCGCTGTGACAATTGGCCTAATATAAACTCTCTACAAATCTCTCTTACACGATAAAGTACAATAAAGTTGTCCTCTGTACGTATTGAACGCAATACATGCATATCGCGCTGTATCGCTTACCAGACGCCGCACGATTCATCTCTGTCACACAATATCGCTTCTCTTTCTCTACCTTCCTCTGCTTTTTTTTTTTTATACTTTTCTCTTTTTTAAGTTGAATATTATTGCCAACAATTTTTGTGCTTCTAGTTAGTTTAATATATCTTTTCTTTCTCTTTTTAAATAACTCTTTCGTTCTTTCTTTCGTGATAAATCCTCGTAGATTAACCCTTTTACAGTGCAATACAAAAGAAACTATTAACTCTCGAGTCAGAAGCGTCTGTAGTAGTATTCAATTTTCTTTTGTACTTCACATTCTTCTAATTTAAATAATTTTCCTTCTGGGAGTAAACGTATAACGCGTTGTTACATATTTATATCTCATAAAAATAATAATTTGTATCCGATTCTAAATTTTTCGTCATTTTACTATACTTTGATAAACCAAAAAATTTGGATGATAATTGCTCTTTAAATCGTCTGAATTCTGAATTCATCGTCATATTGTTACACTGTCAAAGGGTCAACATTCCTCATATGATACATCATCAATTCTATCACTGATTGAGGCTTCCTGTTATATCACATCTCTTCAATCATATTTCTCGATCATTTTACACTCAGACAAGCAAATCGAGTACTATGTAAAATTCGTCGTCACGAAACTAAGAACCAGAATCTTGTACAAACACGTCCGACACCAGAAGTCCAAACAAAATAGTCAGACTGCGAGATATTTTACTATTTTTTACACTCAGACCGTAGGAATAATAAAGTACAACGAATTTGGACTCCAGTGATCAATACTAAACGCCTAGTCTATTCTTTTCCTCGTTTCTCGTCTCTGTTTTCGAGTTTCAGGCCACATATAATGGAGACTCGTCCGCTGAATCTCAACAAAAATATCCTACCTGCAGCGTCCGCATTTCAAACGATACATGTACATACGTACACGATAAAATTGACTTTACGATGGCAGAAAACACTCACATACTCTGTCATTCTTTCTTTCTCTCTCTCATACACACACACACACATATATATACGCACGCACTCTCTTTCTCTCCTTCTCTCTCTCTTTTTTTCTCCTTATCTTCTGCAGTCCCTTCTAATCAACTACTCTCGCTCTCGACATTTTTTTCTTTCTTTTGTTTTGTTTGTTCATTCTCTTCTTTTCGCTATTGGATTCGAGAAAGTCTCGCGAACGCAATGAAAGAGGAGGTGTGAACGCGTGAAGATTCTCGCTTGATCAGACTGCGGATTTTTATGAAAATTTATGAAAATCTTCGACGGTGTAATTGATCTTTTAACAGGGGGATGATTTTTGTTCGCGCAGAGGTAAGTTTGTTTTACGATGACGAATTTTCTCATACTCTGTTAATCCATTGAGGACCAGTTCGAAAATTATTTAATATTAAAAGTATTAGTACCAGATCTTTCAATACTGGAATTTTTAAAACTGTTTGAAATTAAAGCATGCATTCGAACTCTGTTATTTAATGTGAAAGGAAATTCTAAGAATTTTATAACTTTATGAAATTCCAAGAAACTCTGGTAAATCGTTGCTTTGTCCTCAATGGATTCAGAGATTAAAGAAATGAAATTTAAGTGGAGATTTGGATTGTTTATTGTTTAACAAGTATCACGTTACTTACTGTAATTATCGTACGAGTTCCTCAGAAGCGAAACAGCGAAATTTCCAAATTAAATTTAAAACACAATATTCGCTAACATCGTTGCCATCCTGTACCTTTTAATTTACAGAGCTGAGTAATGTGTCTAATTTAAAATATTTAAAAATGTAAAAATTTCACCTCTTAACGCACAAATTTGTCCACTTACTACAATAAATATATCACATTTTTCACAACAGTTAAATAAATAACAACAATTGCTACATGATACATTTCTTTTACAAACGTATGCCTAAAATCGTAGCTTTTGTACCTATAGAAATCAATGACTAAAACAATCGATATATCACAGTCGTGTGCGTTAAGCGGTTAAAATACCTATTTCATACATTTCTGCACTTTAAAATTTCGCAAAAGACGCATAAAAATCCGCAGTGCACTCTTGACGTTCCTCCATCGAACTTTAACCCTTCAGCCACAATTTTCATATTTTTCAAAGTCTTATGTAACTTTATCGGAAGAATATTAACAGGAATGATAAAACCGAAGAAAAGAAAGAATCGAACTACATGGAGAAGAGAGAACTGTCACCAGTACCTGTCGAAATTAATAGATCAAGTAGAACGTGATTTCGGTGTCGTGGCTGAAGGGTTAAAAGAAGCACACGTGCTCCTTAACAGAGTTCAAGTGGCACTCGAGTGGCAACACAGAGGATTTTGTCAGGCCACACGTTCTCCAAAAAATGCTCGAGACACGGTTATCGTATGAAGCCGATGTAACAGGTAATAATTGACAGTCTACGTTACACGCTAATTGGCAGCGTCTTCGAAAGTTGTTGAAACTTCGCATGATCGTTCGAACAGCCTGAATTATTCGAACTTTCACTCGATTCTCAACCAGACTAAGTCTAACGACGATCTGAAGTTCGAGCAAAGACGCCAAGTAAAATTGCATTAATCACTACTGATATGTGCGCGATGTTTTTCTCGGATACAATAAAGATCGTCTGTCGAGTTTCTTCGTCGCATTCCATCGAACGCGGCGTCGCGATTGAAATCAAACGAGAGTCTTAAGCTGTGTTCCTATCATGAAGCAACAACGAGAAACTGATTTTTTTTTGGAAACATTAGTCGTTGCACAATGTTCTTGTTTCGTTCTACGCTATGTTTCTAAAAATACTGCTTCTTGCCTGTTTCTGTAAAGAAAAAGAAGAAAAGAAACAAACGATTTGAAACGAATGAAGCTATGAATTTTAAAAGACGAGTTTAATTTCTGATATTTCATTAATATTATTGGTTATCGTTTGCTATAACAATCTTCAATTTAAAAAGACTAATTTTGTAATTAGATCACGAGATTACGAATTATTTATGAAATTAGAGAGAAATTCAAAGATGCAAAAATGTATACAATATAACTAGTACGGAAAAATATATAAAATATTCAAAATATTTTTTATAATGTCTAATATACCAAACAGAATAATTTTCTATCTGTTTTCTTTATTTCTTTTTGTCTTCGTAAAAGTATAAAATTACACAAATATCTGTAATCTAATTATAATATGTATTTAGCAGATGAAGAAATATTTCTGAACTTTCATAATATTTCAAATAACATAAAAATCTTAACGAGAGATCAGACAATAATATTCAAAGATATATAACAATATAATAATGTTCGTAGAAGAACTCATCTCCTCTGGAAGCTACGAACAACTACTATTATAGATAGAATCGATAACAACCCAATCTAGAAATTGATGCAACTTTAACCTTCAATTAAAAAGAGAGAGATGATTAAAAAATTGACTTTCTCGAAACATTGATAGACTCGAACTATTCTAGAAATAGCTCGAGAATAGTTTTAAATGCAATTCGTCGACTGCTTAACAGCAACAGCAAGCAACGAATGTCTCGCCGTTACTTCAATGAAGACGCAGCTTCACCCTCGTCTACACGCGAGTTTTGTTCGAACCGAGGAAAACTGGAGACTTTCTCGAGAGACCGTTTTTTCTTTCTTCTTTCTTTGCTCTGCGAAGAAAACCTTGTCTACGTAAAACGAAGGAAAAACTGAGAGAAGAAAAAGAGAATGAAAACGACTTGCTTGATCAGAACGAGACGATTTTCTATTTTCTTCGAACGTGATCGTTCTTTTTCTTCTAATAAAAAAAGAAAAGGGTAACGGTCGATTAAACTGGTTCAAATTCCACGAAATGATCAGCCCTGGAATAACGCGCCCTTCTGAATAACAGTCACCTTTCCCTCGCTAGTTCGATCGTTAAGAAATAAAAATTACCGGCAGTGCAGAAATTAGGTCAAGTTGGAGGAGGACGAACAACGTTTGAACGCACGTTTCATGCGGGACAGAGTGACACCAGAAGAACGAAGTAGGGTGTAATTTAGAAAACGAATTCAAAATAAATGAAGGGAGCTTTCATATTTCCGTGAGATTGTCATCTACCAATAATTGGACGCTTGCAACTCTAATTTCTCGTTTTGTCTCTTAACACTAGAACTACCGATCATTAGCAAAATATAAAATCTGCATCTGCAGGGGAAATCATCAGAGAAGCATAAGAAATAGGGGAAAGTTAATGATACAGGAAATGATAGAAGATTTTATTTATATTTATATTTCATTCACTAGCTTCTAATTATACAGGGTGAGACACATAAGTTGTTTAGTCCAAATAACTCCGAAAATACGTGATCAACACAAAAAGATGTTTTATAGACGAAAATATGAAGAAAATTATATAAACGTCGAAGGGCTATTAATAGCGTTGTAGTATGATCATGAACATTGTTTCAGAAATATTCTGCTAATAATTAGGTTCAGAATAAATCAAGCTTATAGAAAATTCACTGCTGTTTTAAATTTTGATACAAAAAAATTACGTTGATAATATGCAAAAAA